AGAGGACCATCGTGACTGCTACTTTTCCGGTGCAGCCCACAGCAACGGTCCCCAACCTTTGGTCCTCCTGGGGTTTTGCACTTCAACTCCCAGAAGCCCCCGCCAGCTTTGCCAGCAGTCAGGAATTCTGGGAGCTGAAGTCTGAAACATCTCGGGGAGCAAACTTTGGGAACCGCTGCCCTACAGCAATGGTTTCCAAACTTTGGTTCTCCAGGTGTTTTGGACTTCAACTCCCAGAGTTGTCAGGCATTCTGGGAGCTGAAGTCCAAAAACATCTGGAGGACCCATGTTTGGGGATGGATGCAAACAAAGCTGGCAATAAAAAGACAAGGAAGGAATACAGCTTTGGAGAATGGGATATCCAGTCCAGCTGGGGGTATGCATGCCACCTCTTCCCTCTTTTCCTGCGGGGGAAAGTTTTAAAACTGTCTCATCATGCAACATATGGAAACGTTTATGCCACCGGTCTCCTTCAGCATCATGCTCTGCTAAGGCGCATGCTCGGATCTGAGCATGTGGTCGCCATGATTATCAGTTGCCTTCTTTGTTCCTTCGCTCCCAAAATAGTATTTCATGGGGGGGAAAATACTTGGCATTCTCTGCTAGAGAAGTCTAAGATATTCACTACAGTCCCCCAAAAGATGATACCTTGGGAACTGGAGTTCAAGGGAGTGAACTGGAGTACTCTAGCAAAGAAGTCTTTAAGTACTTTCCCAAACTACAAATCCCAGGATTCTGTAAGGGGGTACTATGGCCATAAAAGAGGTTTGTTGTCGTCGTGTGCATTCAGGATTGTGGAAGGCGGCACCATTGCAGTACAAGAGGTTTGTTGTTGTTGTGTGCTTTCATGTCAGTTCCGAATCCCGGTGACCTCAAGGCAAACCGATCTCAAGGTTTTCTTGGTAAGATTTGTTCAGAGCGGGTTGGCCATTGCCATTCTCTGAGGCTGAGAGAGTGTGACTTTGCCCGTCGTCACCCAGTGGTTTTCCATGGCCGAGCGAGGATTCGAACCTCTCCAAATTGATATATTTAGGCCCATGCAGACTGATTTAAAAGACCCAGAAAAGTCCTAGATTTGGTTCCTGTTCTTTCCGATGTTATTTTGGAATGACACGCACATTTTGTTTATCCCAGGATATAAAAAGTCAGGGACTTTTTATACCAACATGGCATATTGGTTCGAGCATTGGACTAGGACTCTGAAAGACCAGGGTTCGAATGCTGGCCATGGAAGCCATGGAAACCACTTGGGCAAGTCACACTTTCTCAGCCCAGAGGTAGGCTGTGGCAAACCTGCTCTGAAGAAACCTGCCAAGAAACCCCCATGATAGTTTGCCTTAGAGTCATCATAAATCAGAAACGACTTAAAGGCACACAAATACATATGTGTGTGTATATATATGTATATATATATATATAGAGAGAGAGAGAGAGAGAGAGAGAGAGAGATTCCCTGTTTGGCCATGAAACCTACTAGTGACCTTGGGCAAGTCACACTCTCTCAGCCTCAGGGGAAGGCAATGGCAAACCTTTTCTGGACAAATCTTGCCAAGAAAACACCATGATAGAGTCATCTTAGGCTCCTACCATAACTCAGAAACGACTTGAATGCACACAACACACAAAGCCCAGTTTGGTTCGGTTCAACCCAGTATAAAATCGGAAAGAGCAGGAACCAAATCCGGGACTTTTCCATTGGCCCAGACCCACAATCTTAGGAACTGAGAGGGGTTTATTTTTATCACTATTTATCCACATGGTGGGCTGCAGTCAGTCTTGTGGGTCAAGTTTTTTCTCATAATCTTCAGAAAATGGCCTCTTTCCCTTCCATTTCCAACATAACCAAGGATACGGCGCATCCACTGCTCAGGATAGAGTAAAATATATATATATATATATATATATATATATATATATATATATATTCTCTGCAATGCACTAAAGTTTATGGGGCGTTTTAACCAAGTTTTGTTTTACTACCATGGTTTACAAAACCAGCAGACCTTCTTCAATACTCGATGCATTTAAAACAAACAGCCTCTGAAATGGATAGGTGCCTTGTCCTTGGTCTTTGTGCCAGGCCCTCTCATTTGCAAATTTATTAGTGTACAGTTTAAAAAGAAAATAATAAATGGTGCCAATTTATCTCAATAGCGGGGAAAGCACGGTTAGGTCAGTGTCTCAGGTTGCATCGGGTCCGGTTGCTTTCTGCAAGGCTTGTGGCGGCTGATTGGGCAGGCTATAAATAATTTTTTATTATTATTATTATTATTATTATTATTAAATGCAAAAAAAGTGGGCTTGCCTTGTTAAATGGCTCTGCTCGCCTAAGGCGACTACAGCATTTTCCAAAAGTGAAAACTGGGTTTTCTTTCGGCATCCTGCGGACAGGATGGCAGAAATTTATCAATAAGGATGAACTCGGAGAGGCTGCTGCAGCAGTTTGTTTTTGCCAGAGCCAACTGGGAAGGGCGAGATTCCTCTCTTCTTGATGAGTCAATTGTGTGCAAACTCCTTTTGCATTTTTAACTCAGTTTACAGCAGGGTTGGAGGGGGGGGAAACTAGTTTAAAGCAACGAACCCTGGTTTGCAGCAATAGACATAAGCTGTGGGCAAAGGGGGAAAGGAGGTGAGAAACTGGGACTTTTGAGGAGCAGCTGAAAAAGTGGGATAGCAGAGGATTAATTGGGAGTGTTCTGACCAAATTGGGAAGGATGTGTAATACCAGTTGGAGAGCTGCAAGTTCACCACCTTGTGTTGTTGTTGTTGTTGTGTGCCTCCAAGTTGTTTCCAACTTATGGTGACCCTAAAGTGAACCTATCACGGGTTTATTTGGGGCTGAGATTGTTTGTGTGTCCATGGCCAAGCGAGGAATTGAACCCTGGTCTCCAGACTTATGAGAGCCAGGGTGGTGTAGTGGTTTGAGTGTTGGACTATGACTTTGGAGACCAGGGTTAGATTCCCAGCTTGGCCCTGAAACCCACTGGATGATCTTGGGCAAGTCACACACTCTCAGCCTCAGGGGAAGGCAAGGGCAGACCTTCTCTGAACAAATGTGACCAAGAAAACCCCATGATAGGGTCCATGTAGGGTTGCCCTAAGTCGGAAATGACTTGAAGGCACACAGCACACACACACTCCAATGCCATAGTTTAACACTCAAACCACTACACCATGCCTATTCTCACCCTTTATATACTCTCTGCCCAACTTTGGGGAGTGCTTGGATGGTGTCTTCCTGCATGGCCGAAGGGGGTTGGAATGGATGACCTCTGGAGATCCCCTCCGGCTCTAGGATTTGTTTCCACGCCGCCACGCCTTCCGGCTCGAATCCTGGAGCGCTTAGGAAGCCTTTTTGAAAGAGAAAAAGAGTGTCGTGCCTTGCTAATCGAGGTTGGAGTTTGAGAACCTGATTCCCTGGTAGCGTGTTTCCAGCCCAGTTGGCTGCACGAATGTCTAAGTCGATGGCTTCCTCTAGCAATTATTCCTCCCTAATTGCCGAGGCGTCTGGTGCGTGTCAGGCGTGCGGCTGCTTTGCAATTTCCAAATGACTCTGGAGCTAATGGAGGTATGTGGCAGGTGCAAGGGAGGGGGGGAATCAAACAGCCAGTGGACCAAATAAGATTCCCCGCCGCCACCGCTGTTTTATTCTCTTGCAAAAGATAAAAGTTGGCCTTCTCCAAAAGTTTGGTTCCTC